AGATTTTGCCTAGCATCAAGGAGTAAGGACCTATTTCTCTACTTGGGGATATTTGTTTCTATTTTTTATTCCTAGTAGGGTATTTTTTTTTAATCTTCACTTTTCATTGACCTTCAATCAATAGTGCTTTGGCGTACTTCACCTGACAGGTAAGTGCTCTGCGTAGTTCGCCTGACAGGTAACTATACTTCCCTTTTATTTCTATACTTAATGGCATCTTTCTACACTTAATGGTGGCAGAGAAGTAACAGCTGCCACCATCCCCTCTCTCTGACAGTTTTCAGTCAGCCTCATCTCCCTCCTCCTTCCCCTTCTCCCTCACACCTGGCCTTCTGGTGTGATGCTTCTCACGTAGCAGCAGTGTTATTACCTTTATTTACTTTTTACACAAAGCAACCACAGTGTTTAAAAGCAGCCACTGTGTATGGGAGAGGCAGGACTTTTTCTATGACACAGCAACACTGATTCCCACTGACATCAACAGTCACTCTATATGCTGTGTGTGGGTCCCTACCTCTAAAGGTGGCAGGTGACCTCGCCAGGCAGCTTTTCTGTCAGCACAGTGGACATAGCAGCTGCACTTTGAAACTCGTTTCTCGGGGGGTGGTAAGCCTCCCCGGACCCCCATTCATCCCTGGTAGCTTGGTGGTTTCAGGGTTTAGGAGCTAGGTCATGGCGGACACTGTTAGGTGGAGTCGTGCTGGTGCAGTTGGCACTGAGGTGGGCTGTGCAACATGTGGGAGAGAGTATCCCACCCCTAGATCAGGCTCAATTTTTCCCTCCTGTAAATCCTTGCAAACCCCTGCTTCACTCTCAGGTTTTTCTTTGGGGGATCTGGGACCCCGAGTTCATCTATTCCTATGGAAACTCTTCTGTTTTGGAAGTTTTTGTTTCACATATGGAGCAAATTTTTACTAACAAGCAGAGTAGAAAGTGCTCTCCACTGTCGCCTAAAGATACTATTAATCTGCTTAAACATTTTAGAAGTAATCCAAATTGGAGAATTGTTCAGTATATACAATAATTGGTGCATCCATATCAATTTGATAAGGTTAACCCTGCCCACTATAGAGAGAGGCAGTTTGAGCCAGGCTGCACATTGAGCTGTGGACTTGTATAACAAAGGGTCCTTTTGTTATAAAAGTTCAGAACTAAAGATTAAGAGTGCAATAGGAAGTAAGGTTAGGGGAAATATGAACCCCTAAATAGGTGATTTGTGAGCATATCTGTAGGTGAGACAGGGTTGAGGCTAATGGAGAAGGTAAAGGGTTAATAGTAGAGGTGCACCAAAATAGAAATTTTAAAACCGAAACGAAACCGAAATAAAAATATTGTCAGGCTGAAACCGAAAGTTTTATTTGAATTTTTTCAAATATATTTTTTTTTTATAAACTTTTTCATTTTTTATTAAATATTTTTATTTTACTTTTAGGGGCGTTGGGGAAATATTAGGGGTCTAAACAGACCCCTGATATTTCCCTTTTAAAAGAGAAAGAGATTGAGGACACAGAGTCTCTTTTTCTGTACCCCCTGTTATCAATGAAGAGGAATGAGCGTTCCTGTTCATTGATAACATGAGGACATGGTATGTTTACTATAACTACAACTATGAATGAACAGGAGGTGATGTAGATCACTCCCATTCATTCATAATTGAGGATAAAGTAAACATACCATGTCCTCAATTATCTACAAACACTCAGTGGTTGCTGAGTGTTTGCTCTCCTCTCTGACACGCTGTCACAGGAGGCTGAGCGAGCGGAGCAGGGAGGAGAGCTGAGCCTCCTGTGACAGCGCGGCCTGTCTCCGCCCACACACCACTCTGCCGGACTGTGATAGGCGGCTGAGCGGTGTGGGAGGAGAGACACCGGCCGCTCACAGCGCTCTCCTCCCGCAGCGCTCAGCCGGCTGTCACTTTCTCTCCTCCCCGCTGGGACACAGAACATCGCCCAGCGGGGAGGAAAGAAAGCAGGGATGTGCCGATGTATCTGCAGGAAAATGGCACTTTCGGCATTAAGGCAAAAGTGCAAATTTCGGCCGATATGTTTCGGCGGCTGCTATATCGGTGCATCCCTAGTTAATAGGAAGGAGATTAGATTTTTCCCAGTGTACATACAGGCCGGAGTATTTAGCAAATTCAGATAGGTGGGCCATTACACTAAGTAGTGAGCATTGGGTATCCGCCAGGAAAAGAAGAGTATAATCTGCATTTAAAGGAGAACTATGGGGTTAAGGCTTTTCCCCATAGTTCTCCTTAGGGTAACGGGAGGACACAAACTAGCGTCCTCCCGTCACCCTAGGCTCAGTCTACCGCGAGCTGTAGCTCACGGTATACTGAGACTCCACAGTATACCGCAAGCTACTGCTCGCGTTATACTGAGACGCCGCAGCTGAAGCGGATCCCGACAATTGTGCCGGGATCCGCCCAGCTGCGTGACTGACAGCTGGCTCTGCCTATCTAGAGGCAGATCCACCTGTACCCGCCCCCTCCACGTCCGTTCCGCCAGTCAGCGCTGGCGGATTGGAGTGGGGAGGGGGGAATCCAGCCCCTCCCCTGTCACGGCAGAGAGCCGTGACAGGATCGAGAGGTGAGCGAACGCCGGTATGTGTTCGCTCGCCTCCCGATCTACTGAGCCTACCTGTGACAGTCTCATTGTCACAGGTCGGCTAGAACTATGAGGTGAGTGAAAAGCACTCACCTCATAGTTCTCCTTTAACGTGAGTTGGTCTTCCTCAAGACCACTTTTAAAACCCACTATATCTGATGATTGCCTAATTATTGCATCAAGAGTGCAAATAGTAGAGGGGATAAAGGGCAACCCTGTCTGATACCTTTTTGCAAATGAAAAATAGAGGAGAGGGAGTTGTTAATTTTTGCAGGGGGCATTTTTGAGGGGGCATGGTATAAAAGACAAATCCAGTTGCAAAATTGAGGTCCAAAATGGAAACTAGACACAGTATCCCACAGATAATGCCAGTCAACACTGTCAAATGCTTTTGCTATGTCTAATGCTAGAAGTGCTCTGTTGCCAGCGTTATCAGCAGGTATTTGAATAAACCCTACATATATTTATGGCAGTGGATTTATTCGGTAGAAAGCCTGACTGATCTGAATGTATGATGGATGAGATTTTGGAGGACAATCTATTGGCCAACACTTTAGTAATATTATTGTTTAAAAGAGAGATTGGTCTGTAGGATTCTGGCCTGAGAAGAAGAGCTTTGTTTTTTGGGGGCAATACATTAATAGTAGCATAATGCATAGTATCAGAAAGGCTACCAGCAGACAATGCATCTTTAAATAGTTTATAGTTTTTATATACCTCTATAGGAAGGCCATCTAGGCCAGGGGCTTTTCCATTTGGAATACTAGTGATTGCTCATTCCAATTCCTCTTGAGTAACTGGGGCTTCTAGATCAGAGGGAGGCAAAGTAGGATAAAACAATACATGCCAGATAGAGATTTGTAAAATTGGGAAAACATCTCCTAGGATTTGATGTTTATCAGAGCAGAGAGAACCAAAAGAATCTCTAATTGATCCAATAAAAGGGGTAGGCTGTTGAGAATGAGCTATCTGAACCATGAGCTTGCCATGAGCCCAAATAAAGTGAAAAATGTGTTTTCTGATTTAAAAGTGACTCCAAGTCTTTCATTGGTCCAGTTTTTATGTGTGGTATCAGAGGGACTGAGAATGTAAACTATCTGTAACAGCCTGGCGGGCCATGCGTTCAAACTGTCTGATTGTATTTTTAATGTTAGTAATATGCTTGATGAAAATTAGAGGTGCACCGAAATGAAAATGTCAAAACCGAAACGAAATGAAAAAAAAATGTCGGACCTGAAACTGAAAATTCATTTTTTTCTAACTTTTTAAAAATATTGTATTTGTATTTATTTTTTATAAACTTTTACATTTTTTATATTTTTACATATTTTTATTTTTTGCTTTACTTTTAGAGGCTTCAGGGAAATATCAGGGGTCTGTTTAGACCCCTGATATTTCCCTTTTAAAATAGAAAAAGAGATTGAGAACACAGAGCCCTCAATCTCTTTTTCTGCATCCCCAGTTGTAAATGAACAGGAATCCTCTATACTGAGTGTTCCTTTACATTCAATACTTGAGGACAGAGTATGTTTACTATATTCACAATCATGAATGAACAGAAAGTGATATAGATCGCTTCCCATTCATTCATAATTGAGGATATAGTAAACCTACTATGTCTTCAATTATTTACAAACACTGATCGCTGAGTGTTTGTACCCGCTCTCCATCCTGACACACTGTCACAGGAGGCTGAGAGCTCGATCTGACAGCTGACTCCTCCCCTGCACTGCCAGACAGCCTCCTGTGTCCGCACTGGCTATCTCCACCCACACAGCTGCTCTCCTGATCTGTAACAGGAGGCTGAGTGGTGCGGGGAGGAGAGATACCAGCTGCTCACAGCAATCTCCTCTTGCAGCGCTCGGCCGCCTGTGACAGTTTCTTTTCTCCCCGCTGGGACACAGAGCAGCGCCCAGCGGGGAGGAGATAAATCACTGATGCACCGCTATTTCGGCAGAAAAATTGCACTTTTGGCAATTTGCCAATAGTGCAATTTTTGACCAATATATCGGTGCATCCCTAATTAAAAAAATAAGGTAGGCTTTTAGGGAGTCCCATACTACTGACATAGGAGCACAGGAAGTTTTAATAGATATATAAAAAAATAAATATCATCATCCAATGATGCACATACTTTAACAAAATCCAAAAGGATTTAGGCGTCAGGTGGCGGAGGATTGTTGGCGACCCACTTTTTCTAGCTCTGATAGTGCAAAGTATTACACAATTATATGATTACTTAAAATGTAAATTGATGTTCCAGTTTGTAAATTATCATAGCACATATTTGAAAGTCTTATTGATGGCAGAAATCTGTTTTGATAAATACAAAAATCTGGTTATTAGCAGCTTGTGTGGTGCTAACAGGTTGTTTCAATGTGCTTTCCACCCCAGGTGACAAATATGGCAATGTAGTGCATCTGTATGAACGTGATTGCTCCATCCAGAGACGGCATCAGAAGGTGGTAGAGATAGCACCAGCTGCTCAGCTTGACCCTCAGTTACGGGATAAACTTACTCATGATTCTGTTAAATTAGCTAAGCAGGTAAGAGAAATGCATTTAAGATGCCTAACGCAAATTTTTTTGTTTTAAATATGGTTTGTAGAAATCTCTTCGGAACTGTAAATGTTAATCTGTTGTCAGCTTTATAATATGAAAATTTGGTTAAACATCATATGTTAATAATACTGCTTGAAAACTGTATTTGCATATACTTAGACATTTTATATATAAAGAGAGAGAAGTGATACATGCACATTAAGATAGTCGAATAGTCAAGCTAGCTCGGTGAAGCTAGAAAAAACTCAAAATCTTTAATTTTAGTGTAACTACATTTTTTGTGAACATAATTAGTAAAATTGACATAATACTAAATGACCAAATATTTACGCTTTTAACACTTTTTTGCGGTCATAAGTCAAATGTATTGCCTAAGCTGGAGCAGCCTTACTCACAGTCTTGCACAGTTTGTACAGGCTCCTTTCCTTTCCTGTCCTGAATTTGCTTGCTCGATTTCATTGCACACTGTGACCTCAATCATTTCCTGGCTGGAGGATATCTAGCCTTTCTTCTGCAGCCTGACTGTCGCTGGTCCACTCCTAATTGGATTTAATTTTTTTCAGTCACAGATGCTCAGCATTACATGTGGATGTTACGTAGGGCAGTCTGCATGTAAATGCAGCCTGTGTAGAAATGCCTACTCGTTAACACTGTATCCACCCATGTGTTTTCATATTTGTTTAAGTCCTACCAAGAACCAGTCCTCAGGTTGCATAAGGGGTGAGGACACTTGGAAGGATCATAGAGGCAGGGTGATTTCATGTTTTCAGGAAGCTTTGTACAGGCCCTTCTGTGATGGAGTGGCCAGTCCAGCCCCACAGTATTGTCACTAACAAATGATGAGATACAGTTCCGACCCTACCATGCCATCACTAAGAGGTCTCCCAGCTCGTGGATAAACAATCTAAGACCAGCAGACTAAGGGCAATTGTCACTGGGGTTGGTTAACTCCGCAGTAACCCTTTACACAGAATAATAGCTGCAACCACATGTTTTTTTTAACAAATAATTTATTGAGTTTTTATCATAGCAACAAAGACAAAAACAATACAACAGTACAGGAAGGGCAATGCCCAAATTCATAGGTGTATACAATCAAGATGGGTAAGGCAGGGCACAAATTGGACAACAATACAACAGTTATCATGTACAGCAGATGAAGTACAGAGTTGGTATGAGCAGTGCATGGAAATATTACAACATCGATCAGTTGCAATGCCCAGAAACTGAAAAGAAAAACAAAAAGTCTTACACAGGGAGAGGCGTCTAAAAGTCTCAGTGATACAGAGAGGATGAACAATGTTTTTGTGTTTTATTTTTTTTTTAATTTAATAAGTAAAAATTAGAGCTTGTGGAGAGCGTCTCTACTAATGAGGGAATGCTGGTCTGGTAATCATCATATGATATGTGTCAAGCAGCAACCACATGTTTTAATGGAACCATGCACTGTTCCCAGCAGTTGCTGTGACAAATCAAACAAAAGCAATACCTGAAGTATCCACTGTCCTTTTAGACAGGAATATAACAGGTTTTACAATATGGTAGTGTTCTTCACAGAGACAATGAAACTTTAAGTTCTTAGTGCATAGAGATAAACTTAATGATTTTAAAAGATTGTTTTAATACAATAAATGGTGCAGAAAAAAACACAGAAAAAAAGATGTTACAAAAAGAGAAACAAATAGTACAATACACAAAAAAGGATAACAATAAAAGTGCTTGGCAAAGTTCTGGGTTCTATGAGTTCTAGTAGAGTCTAGGAAATGAAACAGAAAATTAATCTGAGCTGTATCTCTCAAGCAACCGTTCTGTTCTTGTTGTTGAGAATAGCTTTTTCTTGATGGTACACAGGAGCTTCCCAGCTGCCTTGTGCAGCAGCTTTTTGTGGGCCCTCTAGGTGGGTGTCACTAAGGCAGCCCTCTGTTCAATCAGAAAGGCATGGAGAGCTGTGACAGAAGGCTGAAATGGTTTACAACCTCTCATCTGTCCCTCCTAGAGTGTCATTTTCACAACAGTAGCTTTTAGTATTTTGATATACTTACATTTTACCACCTGATAAACAATAGATTATTGTGTGTTATGAAATTAGCTTTGTATAGAGGTACTTGACATACCTGTGATGTATGCCCACCTTAGCAAAGGGGCAATATGGCTCTCTAGCCCTCTGGACCTTCTAAACCCACCATGTCTGGTCTGATTGTGCTGGGGATCAAGTGTATGTATATATATATATATATATATATTTACAGAGGCTGGATTTTAGCCCTTAACAAAATTAAACACATATGTGTAATGTGAAGCCTGATGTAATCATAACTATAAGATACATTTACACAACTGATGGGGTTCTCTAATTTAGTATTGGTGTGCCAGATCACATTACTAACAGCAAAAAGTTTTCCCAGCACACTCACAAACCAGCATGCAAAAAAAACTTGTCTCATCGATAAGGTTAAAAACGGAGGTTTAGATACATGTCTTCTGCAGAAAATGTGAAAGCCGCACAGCCGCGTCAAGGCACCTCTAAATAGTGCGGTCCTAACTCTAAACTATGAGAGTCTCTATCTTGGAGCACATATGGCAAAAGATCAAATTGGATGCAGGTTTGTCAGGAGGAAGCCCAACCTCCCTTAAAGGCACAGGGACGCACAAGGGATCCCGCAGATCACATTACTGTCGCACCATCTACCAGCCATAACCAGCATAGAGAAGTACAGAGATCCAGTGATGACATCAATGGGGATAAAATAAGGTATGTAATAAAAAAGAAAGGTTTTATTTATAAATTGCATTAACATGTTGATGGGGGGAGAACCAGGGAAGGCAACATAAGGGCAGATAAAACTTCAGCTTTAAAAAAGACCACATCAACAAAGTGGATGCCTTGATTAGAGAAGACGGACACATAAAGTTGTCTCAATTGGCTGCACATTTGGATATCTGCTATGGATCCACATTTGTCATAGTGTCAGGCTCGTCCTCGGCACCCCCGGCCGCTCCGGCCGTGACGTCACGCGGCGCTCCGGCCGTGACGTCACGCGGGGCTCCGCCCCCTGGGCTCGGCGTGGTTCTCATAAACCCAGTGAAGGCAATCACTCGGCGTTCAGTCAATGTGGAACGTCGAGCGAATTGCCTCCACTGTCTCCACTGAACCAGTCCGGCTCCCACACCCTGTCCAGATCGCAGCACTTGCTGGCACTTCTCCTCGTTACAGCTCCTCTCAGCCACGCAGGATAGAGACAGATCCCCCACAGCTTGAACAGCTGAACCGCAAGTATCTGGGCTCTAGCCCTATGTTGAACTACCTGTCAGTTACCTGATACTACTGCTGATAAATACTTGTTGAAGTTATATGCCTGTGAAATTGCTACTGAAGGTTTACATACCAACTGAAGTGTATTGAGAGATACTGCTAACGATTACATACCTACGCTATATGTCTATCTACTTGCACCAGTTCCACGTTACTGTTGTCACTTGGGTGTAAAGAACATCAGCATTAGTCCATATTCCTCAGTATTGCCTGGATGCACTGGGTGTTAGAGGCAGCCTATAGATTTCGGGGTTGTGTGTGCAGTTAAACCAATCTATAGCTCCTCTGGTTGGATCATACTACAGTCCCATCAGACCACCATCACTGCAGTAACTTGCCTTCCACTAAGGCTGGGATACATGATGTGGAACGACTTCCTAGCGCACTGAGTGTGTAGGAAGTCGCCTGACTGACCGAATCCCATTCAGCCTACCAAATTAGTTCCGCAGCTGCCGTCCAGATCCACCATAGCCGCTTGATTGTGATACATAGTGTCGGATGACTTGGGATACAGGAATATCTGTGCTGAATGGTTTCCCAAACAGCTTACTGCTCTGCACACACAACAGAGTGTAGAGGTTGCAACCCAGTTCTTGAGACAATATGAAGAAGATGGGACTATTCTGGAGAGAATTGTTACCAGCGATGAGACATAGGGGCACGACCCAGAGAGCAAAAGGAAGTAGGTGCTCCGTGGTTGCCGGTTCGCCTCAGATGATGAAGTAAAGGAAGTGGTGCACGCCTGGCTTCAGCAGCAGCCAAAAAGCTTCTTCTCTGTAGGAATGCCGAAGCTGGTTGAATAATATAACAAGTGCATCCTCTAGCATGGGGAATATGGGGAAATTAGATATGTCCATGTGCTCACAATTCTGTTAAAGCCATTAAATGTATTTTGCCTTTTACTTTTTGATTCTCCCTTGTACATGCATAAAATCCTACTTCAAAAAATAATAATAACCCCACAAATTCATAGGTGTCCATAGAAATACATCAGTCCATATACAAGAAGAAACCGAAGAAAAAAATAGAGCCCAGTGAAATGTTTTCTTTGCTCATTTGCTGTTTAATTACACCAGCGAATAAACACCTCCTTGCTCAAGTATGCAAAACACACTCACCAGATTCCATGTAACCTCTTATTAATAAATATTGTCATACTGCACTTTTTTAATATCCTACTGCCACAAGTTTCTTCCAGGTTGATTTGTTCTATCTTTAACAACATCAACTCTTTGAAAAATGTATCCAGGTTGTTCATGTTAACTACAGGTGCTAAAGGTTGTAAACAAGGGGTCTTATCACCATTGTCATATCTTCTAAACCACATAGCATCCACATTTGAATAGAGCAGAGGATGTTGCATTATAGGTTCTATTCACAAAATAAAATGCATGTGGTTATATGTATTCACCATGTTAATGCGAATACTTGCGGTGGGGCCGAGGCAGCATTTTTCCATAATGTGCACGTATGAACAGAATACTTACACATTATGGAATATTTACCTCTGGGTCTGCTCTTCTCCTGCTATGCAAGATCCCAACCATCTGCTGCTGCTTGTTCATCATCATTTCCATCTTCTCCTGCTGTGCTTCTCAGGTCAGGTGTCTCTTCTTACTTCAGTCCTTGGGCAGACACTGATGTTGTAACCCCTGTACATTTGCAGTGGAGC